CCCGTGTCCGTGGGGAGCCGGCACCGGAGCCAGCCCCGACCCCCGAGCCGGCCCCCGGCCCCGGCCCTGGCCCGTTCCCCAGCCTCGGCCATGGATGTGATGAGAGCGCCAGTACTCAGCCATAACAGCGGGGAGGCTGCGTCCGCACTCCCACCGCCGCCACCACGGGCTCCCACCCGGCCGACACATCCCGGCCAGCCTGCCAGCATGCTGAGTGGGGTTCCTGGAAAACAAACCCTTGTTGATCAGGGTCTGTGCTGCATGCTGCCTGGGCCGGTTCCCAATTATCCCCTCTTTTCCCCCACAGGTGTCTCGGCGTGGCTGGTTGCTGCTAAGGTCCCTGGGGACGCCCTTCTTGGGTGGAAACGTGGCTTTGCCGACGGCGCGGGTGGAGATGAGGACGGCGGAGGACTCGAATGGGACGGTCCTGCACCGCCTGATCCAGGAGCAGCTGCGCTATGGGAACCTCACGGAGAACCGCACGCTGCTGGCCATCCAGCAGCAGGCCTTGCGTGGTGGCGGCGGTAGTGCTGGTGGTGCCGGTGGTGCCGGCAGCCCCCGCTCCTCCCTGGAGAGCCTCAGCCCAGAGGAGAGCCAAATGGTGCAGCAATCCACGCGGCAGGAGCCCCAGGGCCAGGAGCATCACTCTGACCACGTCTACTTGGAGAACAGCGTCTATCGGCTCTGCCAGCCCCAGCACAAGGGCGAGGAGCTCCCGACCTACGAGGAGGCCAAGGCGCATTCCCAGTACTACGCCTCACAGCGGGGTGGGCAGCATCCTGGAGGAGCCAGCCTGGGAATTCGGGGTGAAAACGGTCCACGTGGGGCTGAGAGCGGTGCCCGACGCCCCGACGAGGGGCTGAAGGACCTGAAGCACGGCCACGTGCGGTCGCTGAGTGAGCGGCTGATGCGGATGTCGCTGGAGAGGAATGGGGCCAAAGTGCAGAGCCCCATCAGTGCCTCCCACAGCTACCCCCAGCTCTCCCGCCACCACCAGCTTGCTGCCCTGCGAGGGCAGCACCTCGAAGGGCTGGAGCCACGGGGACCCCCTCCGGAGTATCCCTACGTCATCCCTTCCCAGGACGCTTACCTGGCTGAACCCCGACCCTGCTCCCGGGAAGGTCCTGGATTTCAGCATCCTGAAATCAGGTAACCTGCGGCCCCTGGGCTCCGCTTTTGGTGTCCCCACCGGGTGCATTGCAGCTGCGGTGCCCCAGGAGCAGCTGGGATGGATGCTCGGAAGGTGCAGGATGTGGAGAGCAGTGGGGGACCTGTTGCCAAACCTCTCATCCTCATGGGCCCGGATCTGGCTCAGCCCACGGGGGTCTGCGGGGACCCTTCAGGTCCTCTCCTCTCCCCAGTACAGTTGGGTTTTTCCACCTGGTGATGAAAAATCCCACTGCCTCTGCAGACCCTGCCCCCTCCTCATGTGCTGGGAGGAATTTGGGGTTAATTTAGGAGCTGGAACCAGCTCAGGAAATGGCTAAATTTAGAACAGGCATGGGGCAGCGTGGAAGACAAACATGCTCCCCACTGCATGGAAACCCACCCCGGTTTGCTCCCAGTGCCGTGGGATTGCTGCCGAGCTGAACCCAGGCTGGTGCAGGGCAGTTAGCGGAGATGATGAGCAGCGCCGGGCAGCTCTCCCCTTCCCTTTGGCAGCTTGATGCCTCCAGCAAAGCCCCAGGTTGTCTCCAAGAGGGCCATGGAGATGTCTGGGGAGCCCGGAGGTCCAGGCATTGCCTGGCATTTAGGGAGGGCTGGAAGCAACTTCTTCCAGCGTGGAAAACAATGGGAAAAAGGGAATTGGAGGCTCAATGGGAGGACGCACGCTGCTCCCAGCCCTGCTGACCTATCCAGGCAGAGAGTGATAGCATCTCCAGCAGGAAAACCTTCTCCTTCCAGGGAACAAAGAGGGGAAGGGGAGCCGCGAGGAAGATGTATTTATTCTTCCTCACTCCTATATCA